AAAAAAAAAAAAAAACTCTCGCCTCCCATTTCGTGACTTGGGCAGCCCTTCTGGGAGTATCTGGTTGGGTTTTTAAAACAATTCGACGAGGTTACTCGCTCCAATTCGCTCGCAGGCCACCTCGCTTCAGAGGCATCATCCAAACTTCTGTTCCGGACAACGAAGCACTCGTTCTCCGACAGGAGATGCAGACGTTGCTTGCAAAAGGCGCTGTGGAAATAGTGCCCCCAGCTAACAGCGAGTCAGGCTTTTTCAGCCGCTACTTCCTCGTCCCAAAGAAAGATGGCGGGCTCAGACCAATTCTGGATCTCAGGCGTCTGAACCACTCGCTTATGCTCCGGTCGTTCAAGATGAAAACTATAAAACAGATCCTCGCGCACATTTGCCCCGAGAACTGGTTTTTGGCTGTGGATCTGAAAGATGCATACTTTCCCATTCACATAGCCCCCCATCACAGACCGTTCTTGAGATTTGCGTTCGAGGGAGTGGCCTATCAGTACACAGTCCTTCCGTTTGGACTGTCTCTCGCCCCACGTACTTTCATGAAGTACGTAGACGCCGCTCTTTACCTTCTGAGACAGATGGGAATCCGTGTTTTGAACTACCTCGAAGATTGGCTGGTTCTAGCCAGGACCGAATGGGAGTTGGCTGCTCAAAGAGAGCTGTTACTCAGCCACTTGGAGCGCCTTGGGTTGATCATCAACCCGCACAAGAGTCAGTTGTTACCCAGGCAGCGAGCGGTCTTTCTGGGAACAATTTTAGACTCTGCCCAAATGCAGGCATGGGTTACGCCGGAACAATCCCTGACTATTCAGCGATTGGAGGCATCCCTCAAACCGGGGACGACACGCCCCCTAAAGGTTTTTCAGAGGTTGCTGGGCCTTATAATGGCTGCTGCCTCTGTGATTCCTCTGGACCTGCTTCACATGCGGCCCCTTCAGTTTTGGTTTAAGGCCCGCATTCCACCCCACACCTGGCGCCTGGGGCAGCTTCCTGTCAGGGTAGACCACCGCTATGTCAAGGTTGTGGCCCCCTGGACGACCTCTCACCTGTTCCAAACAGGAATAAGATTAGGCATGACCTCCAGAAGGAAGGTAGTCACAACGGACGCTTCCAACTCAGGTTGGGGCGCCCTGCTGGAGGGCAATCCAGCCTTTGGCTCCTGGTCAGCCCCGGAGCAACGCCTGCATATCAACTGCCTAGAAATGTTGGCGGTTTTCTTAGCCCTGAAAACCTTCCTTCCGGCCTTGAAAGGGCACCACGTCTTGGTCCGGTCGGACAGCATGACAGTGGTGGCTTATATTAATAATCAAGGCGGTCTCAGGTCACACACTCTTTGCAGGATGGCTCGTCGCCTCCTCTTTTGGGCACACAGGGAACTCCTCTCGCTAAGGGTGGTTCATGTGCCGGGCAGATTGAACTTTGGCGCAGACATGCTGTCCAGAGGCAAGGTAGCCCCGGGCGAATGGGCATTACACCCTCAAATGGTTCAAGACATCTGGTCAGTCTTCGGGAAGGCAGAGGTCAACCTCTTTGCCTCAGAAGACAACTTTCACTGCCCAACATATTTTTCGATACAGCGAGATGCTCTAGCCCACGATTGGCCCAGTGCTTGCCTATACGCTTTTCCCCCGATTGCCCTGATTCCTCAGGTCATCAGGCGGGTCAGGGAGACCAAGTGCTCTCTCCTCCTAGTGGCCCCGTTCTGGAGGAACCAGGCCTGGTTCCCGGAGCTAGTGCAGCTCTCAGCAGCAGCCCCGTAGCCCATTCCGCTGAGGAGGAACCTTCTCTTACAGGCGAAAGGCATGATTTGACATCCCCGGCCGGAGCTGTGGAGCCTTCATGTATGGTGCCTCGACGGGGGCTTGATCAGCTCCCAGCAAGAGTGAGCAATACCATTTTGGAGGCAAGAGCGCCGTCTACAAGACGGCTTTACAGACAAAAATGGTCGGTCTTCCTTATTTGGTGTTCTGCACGGGGTTTGGACCCGATATCATGTGATGTGTCCCACGTGCTGACCTTTTTGCAAGAGCTGCTCCCTCCACGCTCTAAAAGTATATGTGGCGCTATCGCAGCGAATCATTCTCTCGAAGCTGGCCATTCAATCGGCAGGAACGACCTGATTGTTAAGTTCCTGAAGGGTGCACGGAGGCTGAATCCTCCTCGCCCTCAGACTGTGCCATCTTGGGACTTGTCTATAGTCCTGCGGGCCCTAAAAGGGCCCACCTTTGAGCCGCTCAACTCAGCCGATTAACGGCCTTTATGGCTTAAAACGTCCCTCCTCTTGGCTTTGGCTTCAGTTAAGCGAGTGGGCAACTTGCAGGCGATGTCGATCAGCGCCTCGTGTCTCGAGTTTGGGCCTAATGACTGTAAGGTCATCCTAAAACCAAGACATGGTTATGTTCCTAAGGTACTCTCAACTCCATTCAGAGCTCAGGTGATCTCCCTACTGGCGCTCCCCGTTACAGATGGTGAGCAGGGTCCAAGCATGCTCTGCCCAGTGAGGGCTCTGAGAGTATACCTGGAGTGCTCTAGCCTGTTTAGGCAGTCTGAGCAGTTATTCGTTTGCTTTGGAGGATGCCATAAAGGGCTGCCGGGCACGAAGCAACGACTTTCTCGCTGGATTGTTGATGTGATAGCCCTAGCTTACGCATCAGAAGGATTGCAATGCCCTATAGGTGTGAGGGCCCATTCCACAAGAGGGATGGCCTCCTCCTGGGCGTGGTCCAGTGGAATATCTATTGGTGAGATTTGTGTGGCCGCCGGCTGTTCGTCACCGTCCACATTTGCCAGATTCTATAACTTAGACGTCCCTGCTTTGCAGGTGCGAGTGTTATCTGTTTAAAGTTCCACTCTTCCCCTTGGGCAAGGTGGTTATATTTGAGCCCTCAGCTACCAGCTTGGGGCGCAATGTGCTCAGGTTTTTGGGGTCCTTGTTAGTGCTCCGGGACTGGGCTCACAGAGCAGGAGATCCTGTATCTGCTCATAGCACGGCGTGATTGGATGCCTTCCCCATACACAAAGTGAAACTGACGTAAGATAAGGGAACGAGTGTTGTGTCACTTGCCGCGCTATAAGTTGCGCGAATCGATGACTGTCGCTTCAATCGAATGGCCTGATGAATGGCGCTGCGAGCCGACTTATATACACGTTGGCTCCACCCTTTCTGGCGGTCTAAAGCACCATAGATTTGTGCAGCTACAAAAACGTGAACAAATCAGACTTCAGTACAGAGTTAAAACAGGAGTTTTCCCCATACACAACGCTCGTTCCCTTATCTCAGGGAACTGAGCTTACGTCAGTAGCCGGAGCGTTTTTGGCATTAAAGACAACTTATTGTCAGAAGAAGGGTTTTTAGTCTTGTATGATGCCAATAAGTCTAAAAACCTAGATTTACCATGCAAAATATACTCGCCTTTTAATCTGTCACTTAGTAGAGACTATGGCAAATTAGCTCGCTGTACTCCCGTAGAAGACCGTTACAATGTACACGTCACGAAGTAGCACTTTAAGTTGCGCAATCGCACTTTCTTTGCCATTGCCGTTCCATCAGCTGTTGTTGCTTAAAGGGTTAGTTCACCCAAAAATGAAAATTCTGTCATTAATTACTCACCCTCATGTCTTTTCAAACTCATAAGACCTTCATTCATCTTCGGAATACAAATTAAGATATTTTTGATGGAATCTGAGAGCTGTCTGACCCTGCATAGACAGCAACGCAACTGAAATGTTCCCAAGTCCAGAAACGTAGCAAGAAGATCAGTAAAATAATCCATGTGACAAGAACAGCATACGCTGTTTACAGGGTGATGCAGAGGAGACAAATTAATTAAATTAAAGTCCCTATTAAAGCAGTGTTTCAGCGCTGCTTTGTTTACAGCGGTAACCAAGGAAATGCTGTATCTGGTGTTCCAGAAGCGCCTCCTGCTGTCAGAGAGTGAATCTGCATCTCATTCAGAGCATATGCTGTTTACTTCATCAGGCATGTAGTATAATTTCACAAAGCTAATCAAAGAAAATTCTGTTTTTGCTTGAAATTGGGTTATTATTAAATCAAATTATGTATATTAAATTACATAACTAAATGATATAAATTAGGGCTGCACAATAAATCGCATGCGATATTTAACTTGTTTAACTATATATCTTGTCAGTAAAGCAATTCTGTAATTAGCGGTAAATCTCCATCACGTGTAGGCTTTCACATGGAGCAGCATTAACTACACAGAGCCGTTGTTCACCGACAACCTGCGCAAAATATGATCGTGGTGTTGCGCAGCTTGTCAGTGAACAACGGCTCTGTGTAGTTAATGCTGCTCCATGTGAAAGTCCGCAGGTGATGGAGATTTACCGCTGATTAAAGAACCGGCTTTACTGACAAGATGCGCGTTAAATATCGCGTGCAGCCCTAATATAAATGATATGTTTATATTTTCTTCTTTTTAGGAAACAAATCAAAGAAAAAATTAATTAATTCTACTGTTCGTAATATTCTGTATGTTGCTCAAAAACAAAATATATTGTGTTCAGCGGAAAAAAGTTATTTTTTTTACCCAGTCATTTTAAAATAACACATTTTAGAGCTGTAACAACAATACCGTGATACCATGAAACCGTGATATTTTTGCTTAAGGTTATCATACCGTCAAAATCTCATACTGGCCCATGCCTATTGGATACTAAATTGGACATTATGCATGCTGGTGGTTTGTGGAGTCAATAAATTGTGTATGGTGATGCAAACAGAAAAAGGGTCTTCTCATTTCTAATGGAGGAAATAAACAACGTACATCAAAGTAAGAAAGCTTGTCAACCTAATTACTCTGGGATCAACTCAGTAGCTTAAAGTATTAGATTTAGCTCCTACAGAAATTTAAAAAAAATAATAATAATAAGGAAGCAAGATGACACCCACAACTGTGAAAATTTGATAATGAGGAACATACACTTCTGGCTGTACAACTGATTTTGGATACGGTGTTTTTTTTTTTTTGTTCCAGGAAAAGCCAGGTGTGGTGAGATCTCTGAGCCCCACTCTCCGAGGCAGCAAGCGCCTGAGTAAGAGCAACATTGATGTGTCAATCCCATGTGATGCACTGTCTGGAGACCGCCATCCACTCACCCATAAGCAAAGTGACTCATGTGATGCAGACGTGGCCAGTGGTCAGCGTGAGGTCTTTATCGGCAGGTGAGATATGGGTTTGTCCTTTGCTTCACTGACATGTGTCATTGTGCTTGTTCCCTCAGGAAGAACAGCAACCCATTCCCATCATATGTCTATGATGAACATGTACTTTAAATCTTTTCACTAATTTAGTTGGAACAAATATGTTAATTTGTGCCATGCCCTGGAGCACATGGCAGGTGCATTTCTAATATCTAATTTGAAAAACTAGAAATTACATATATAAACAATATATATATTTCAATCAGTACAACTCTCCGAAGACTTTAGCATGGTAATGGTTATGACGATGTTAATGTACAGGTGCATCTCAATAAATTAGAATGTCGTGGAAAAGTTCATTTTTGGCCAGCAAACTCACCAGACCTTGACCTGTTATTGTCAAGAGGAAAATGAGAAACAAGAGACCAAAAATGCAGATGAGCTGAAGGCCACTGTCAAAGACACCTGGGCTTCCATACCACCTCAGCAGTGCCACAAACTGATCACCTCCATGCCACGCCGAATTGAGGCAGTAATTAAAGCAAAAGGAGCCCCTACCAAGTATTGAGTACATGTACAGTAAATTAACATACTTTCCAGAAGGTCAACAATTCACTAAAAATGTTTTTTTTATTGGTCTTATGAAGTATTCTAATTTGTTGAGATAGTGAATTGGTGGGTTTTTGTTAAATGTGAGCCAAAATCATTACAATTAAAAGAACCAAAGACTTAAACTACTTCAGTCTGTGTGCATTGAATTTATTTCATACACGAGTTTCATAATTTGAGTTGAATTACTGAAATAAATGAACTTTTCCACGACATTCTAATTTATTGAGATGCACCTGTATTTGGTCTTGGCGGAATAGATCTGCTACACTGCTGCTGCTGGTTATTGCTGTAGTTGTAGATTATTGATGCTGCTGCAAGCAAGTACGGGAACTTGCTACTGCCAGTGCATATGGTGATACAGTGCTGTGAGTATTTAAGACATACTGCTGCTGCACAAATAGCATATAAAATAACCCATAGCAGGTCTATACAGGTGGAGCTGGGGAACGTGGTGGGTTTCAGAGGAACTCTGAAAGTGCGCTGCAAATGCTCAAGTGAATGCTAACCAGCTATTTAAATGTAAAGTAGCAAGCTCATTTGGCTGCATATGCAACATGAACCAATATGCTTGTGCAAAGTTGTTTAACGCGTGAATATAATCAGTTGCGTTAATACCTGTCAGCCGGCGCCATTTAGAGTTTCATGACTGAACTATACATACATGTGTGTGTGTGTTTGTGTGTGTGTGTGTGTGTGTGTATAAATATATATACAGTGGGTACGGAAAGTATTCAGACCCCCTTAAATTTTTCACTCTTTGTTAACTGCATGATGGGATGCAAGCCAGAGTACTCACGGGAGAACCCCAGTCTGAGTCTTTCGAGGTAAACGTTGGGGCGAAGCAAGGCTGTGTCTTGGCTCCGGTGCTCTTTAACATCCTCCTCTCTGCCATCACCTGCCTCTTCCATCGTGTCATGGGGCATGAAGACGGTGTCCATGTGGAATATCGACTTGACGGTAGCCTCTTTAACATCCGTCGACTCCAGGCCCGCACAAAGATAAAGTCCCGCCAAATCTGTGAGCTTCAGTATGCCACAGTACTGTGCCATTTTGGCCCACAGCCCGGACTCTATGCAGCACGCTCTAAATACAATATCTAGTCTGTACCAATCTTTTGGCGGCTAGGGCACACCATACGCATGCCTGAACATCGCCTGCCCCGCCAAGTCCTCTACAGTCAACTAATGGGTGCAAAGCGCTCTGCTGGACGGCAAAAACGGTGCTTTAAGGATTACACCAGGGACCTCCTAAAGCGAGCGAACATTCCCCTCACGCAGCTTGAATCTCTGGCACTTGACAGGTCAGCCTGGCAGGTCACCTGTGCCACTGCAGTCTCTCAAATACATCAAACCAACCAAGACCGACGATCCGAGAGACGCACTAAGAGACACCAGAGGGCGGCTGGTACCCCCCTGGTATCTGGTTTCCGTTGCTCCATCTGCGGAAGAGTGTGCAGCTCAAGGATCGGACTCGATGCCCACGAGAAGTGGCACCAGCGGCAACATCGCTGAACCCACCCCCTTCCCACTCCCATATCTGGAGCAAGCGTCATCATCGAACATGATGGACAGCTAAGAGTGTGTTTGTTTTACATTATATATATATTTTTTTCTTGTCTCAAACTAAAATGCTTTAAGCAAAACCTGTTTCTCGGGTTTTAATTTTTATTAGCATATCCTGCTGAAAAAAAAACAATAGACACCATCACAAAATGTGTAATAGTTTTACTGGTTATAATGGGACTTGTATTGGTTTTAATGGAAACTGTAATGGACCCTGTGGGTCTCTACTGGTAATTGGTCACCTTCTATTGGTGGTTTGTTAAAACCAATAAATCCTAATGGAATATGTCCCAAAACACACTACAAAAAAAACAAATTTTTAATGGTTTTAATGGTTAAAAGTTGATGGTTTGTAATGTTTGTAATGGTATTTGTAGTGGAAACCATTAGAATTTTATGTGATGGTTCTGTTGTTTTTTTTTTCAGCAGGGATGTTTGAGTACAATGAGCATTTTGGTTTTATTCTATAAACTACTGACAACATTTTTCCCAAATTCCAAATAAACACATTGCCATATACAGCATTTATCTGCAGAAAATTACAGCTGGTCGAAATAAAGATGTTCAAAAAGATGCAGTATTTTCAGATCACAAATAATGCAGGAAACATTTTTAAACAACACAATACTAATCTTTTCAATTAGGAAGAGTTGAGAAATCAATATTTGGAGGAATAACCCAGATTTTCACAGGGTTACACACTTGCAGGTATCACACCTTTCATGCGTCTTGGCATGCTCTCCACCAGTCTTTCACATTGCTGTTGGGTGACTTTTTGCCACTCCTAGTGTAAAAATTCAAGCAGCTTGTCTTTGTTTGATGGCTTGTGACCATCGCTCTCTTGATCGCATTTCAGAGGTTTTCATTGTGGTTCAGGTCTGGAGATTGGGCTGGCCATGACAGGGTCTTGATCTGGTGGTCCTACATCCACACATTGTTTGACCTGGCTGTGTGGCATGGAGCATTTTCCTTCTGGAAAAAAACAATCCTCAGAGTTGGGGGTCATTGGCAGAGCAGAAGAAAGCAAATTTCCTTCCAGGACAACCTTGTCTGTGGCTTGATTCATGTGCCCTTGGCCTTCACAAAGACGAATGTGGCTGATTCCAGCCTTGCAGAAGCACCCCCAGATCATCACCTATACTCTAGCAAATTTCACAGTTGGTGTGAGACACTGTGGCTTGTAGGCATCTCCAGGTCTTAGTCTAACCATTAGATGACGAGGTGTTGGGCAAAGCTGAAAATTGGACTCATCAGAGACAGTCCAATCTTATGGCCTTTTGCAAACCTCAGCCAGACTCTGCTTTGCTTCATACTGATGAAGGGATTTTTTCTAGCTTTGCACAACTTCAACCCTGCCTCTAGGAGCCTGTTTTGAACCGTTCTTGCTGTGCACTTCACCCCAGTTGCCATTTGCCATTCTTTTTGTAGGCCACTTGATGTCATCCTGTGGTTGTTGTGTGATATTCAAATAAGTTGGCGGTCATCCCTGTTAGTGGAGAGCCATTTTTTGCCCTCTGCCAGTCTGTAGATTTGTCCCCAATATCTGCAGCTTGACCTTGTTCTTATAAACTGCAATAAACTTTTAAATTTTAAGGATGGAAGCAACCTGACGCTTACTGTATCCCTCTGCCAGTAAAGCCAGAACTGAACCCTTCTTTTTGTTACTCAAAAGTTTTCTTTTCAACTCTTGACATGGTCTGTAGTTATTATTGGATCTCAATTACTTTTGAGGTAGTCTAGCACTGTTCTTGCCATCCAGCTGGTCCTTATTTTTTCCAGAGCTGTATTGTGAAGTAAAAACAGCACAAACATGAGCAAGTATTAGAACTGGATTTGATGAATTCTGTGATTTTGTTAATGGATTTAGTTGGTTTGCCTCACTTTAAAACATTCCATCCGGTTTGATAAAACCACAGAAATGATTGTAATAATATCAATATTTCAAAAGACTGTTGCTAAAACTCTTGGTTACATTTTTATAGAAACACTTCCTTAAAATACACAAGCATATTCATTTTTAAGTTACAAAATTCAAAAAGAATGAGCCAGAAATAAACATGAGGAAACTGATAAACAAATTTTCTAGTGCATGATGTAAATATACTTAGGTAGGTATTAAAGCATGATTGGATCTATTTATCTATCCCTTATTTTTAATTGTCTAAGAAAAATACACTGTCAAATACACTGCTGGACAATAACCAATAAATTGTATTCTATATTTTTTTACTGTTCCATTTTTATCATAGAATAAGGCAGAAAATATTTTTTGCATAGTTTCTCTACTGTAATAAATGAAATGTCAATTATCACTGCATTATTCATACAATGTATTTATTTATAACCTGATGACTTGAAAAACACACATAAGCCACATATTGTCACAATTGTGTGTTTATTGTCTTCACGTTTCAACAGTCAAAATATTTCTGAGTTTTTCAGCTTAGCTGCAGCTATAGCTGGATGCATTTGCCCATATTAGGGATTTCCTGGCATGTCATAAGTTATTAGGTCTATGAGTCCGTTTTGGATTTTCTGTGCAAAAGAGTGCCTTCCGGCTTTGAGTATGAATGAAACATACACTGCGTGAGAGTGTTTAGTGCTCCATAATGTTCACAGCGCCTCATTTTGGATATGAATAAAATTACAGGTCATGCATAGACTATCTTGTCTCTTTGAATTTAAAGGAGTGGTTGACTGTTTATTTTCTAGGCTTGATTGTGTTTATGGGGTGCAGTCTAACATGTGTTAAAGGGGTCATATGATGCTATTTTAAAGATCATTATTTTGTGTATTTGGTGTAACAGAATATGTTGACATGCTTTAATGTTCAAAAAACACATTATTTTTCAAATACTGTACATTATTGTAGGTCCTCTATGCCCCG